ACATATTATGATTAACATATTTCAAATTGTAGATTACTAACGTTTTCCTTCTACAGTGTGACTCATCATTATTCTTGTTTTACAGTATACCATTTATGATAATTTACAAGAAATTTGATACAACCAGTCTTATAGTCTTTTGTTTTGCCCTTTTTGTGTTTGAAGTTTTCCCTTGTCCTGTGGGCATAGAGCTATTTTGCTGTGTCTCTAGTACTAGGAATTTATTTTTATATTATTTTACACTTTAAAGTTTTAACTTTCACACTTAGGTGTGTTCAATTCACCTGGAATTATTCTTTGGATGCCAGTGTATGATGGGAATGTATCTTTTCCCCCAGTTATCTTAGACCATTGATTAAGTAATATTTCTTATTTTCCAGTGATTTTTAAGACCCAACTGGTTATAGATCAATATCCAGATCTATGTGACATATATATCTCTTTTGATCCATTGTCCGTAACCCTCAAAACAGTATACCTCAAAACAGTGACTTACATGACACCTATTATATTTCAATCCATGATTCCTGGAGTTCACCCACATGAACAGGTGTCTGTTGGACTCCTTGAGTTCCTGCAGGAATGTGGTGAATAATAGCTGGGACCGGATGTTGGATGCTTCTGTGATCTCCACATGGCATTTCTCTCCACATGGTGTTTCATCCTTAAGGTCTTTCATGTGCTCTTATCCAATGGACGTGGAGGCTTAATGCTCTGAGACTAAGGAAGCAGAAGCCCTTGGCTGTTTGAATGACTAGGCTTGGAAGTCCCAGAATCTTGTTTTCACCACATTTTATTGATTCTAGCAGTCATAAAGCAGCATAAATTCAAAAAGAGGGGACGAAAACTCTACCATTTGATGGGAAGAATAGCAAAAACATACAGAGAGGCTCTGAATTGTGGTTTCATAATGTCTTGATATCTGGTAGGACAAGTTTCTTGACCAAGCTTATCTTGATTATTTTTGGCACATTGCTTTTCCTTATACATTTTAGGTTCTCCTTGACTAATCATGTGAATAAAAAAAACTTGTGAAATTTTGCAAGGGAAAATGAGTGCACTTACCATACTGAATTTTCAAGTCTATTTGGACTTATTTTTATCTTCGTTTACATCTTTAGTAATACTTGAAAATTTTACCTGATGCTCTGAACATTTTTTTGTTTGATTTATTTTTAGATATTTTATAGTTTTTGTTCATGTGAATAAGATATTGCTTCAATTTTACTTAAAATTAGGTTCTATTGATTTTTGAAATATTGTCTTTTTTTTCACTTCACATTCAAAGATTCTTCCCCTTTATGGTTTGAAAATTATATATGATTTTTGTATTCATTTAGAGATCACCATTAAAATTTTTAACTTGAATACCCAATTTGCAGTCCAAATCTTTTTCCTCCTTCTCACCAACAATACCAATACTTATAATGTTTTAACTAAGATCACTCTTGTCTTCCATGCTAGTGTTACTAAGGATTGTAATTTTATTTCCTATCTTCTATAATAATCTTTTTGGTTATACAGTTAAAATTTGTTTAGATGCAATATTTATTCCCTCACTTCTTTGCTCAATATTTCTGCTTCACTAAGAACTTCTACTTGAAGCCTGTTTCTTCTCAATCACTTGCCTTTTAGTGAGGATTTGTTGGTGGGAGCTATACTTTTTTATTCATTAGAAATTGCTATTTTTCCTAATTTTTGTCTTACAGTTTTGGTAGAAATAAGACCTAGGGTACTGTTAAGATAATCTCAGATGTTTCCATCTGGTATTGTTGAGAACTTAGGTGTTTTATGTATATCTAAATACTCGCCATTGTGGCTAGCACTTAACCCCCTCTTCCTCTACTGCTTTTCGGAGTTGTTTTATTCTTGTTACTATGGCCCTTCATTCTGAAGAACTTGCTTGAACCCCTCTAGTTGCTCTGGTCTGTTGGAGATGAATTCTCACAGCCTTTGTTATAAATCTGTTTATGTTTCACTACTTTCTACAGCTTATTTTCATGGGATATAGAATTGACATATTTTTCTTGTAGCACTTTAAAGCTGTTTCTCTTTGTCTTCGGTCTTCTAGTTTCGGGTGAGAATTCAGATGTTACTTATTTGTTGTGCATTTACCTAATTTTTTTGTTTGCCTGCTTTCAGGACTTTGGTCTTCATTTAGTTTTCAGCAGTATGATGTTATGTTCATTAGTGATTTTTAAAATTTATCCTGTTTGGAGTTCCCTGAGTTTCTGAGATTTCTTAGTTGTCTTTCACCAGTTTTAGAAAGTGTTTATCTGATGTCTCGTCACATGTTTCTCTGCCCCATTCCTTCTTGCATCTTCTGGTGCTCACTTCTGTTGTACATGTGGTTGTGTGTTTTGTGTTCTTTTAGCTATCAGATGGACTTATTTGTTTGTTCTTTTTCCCCCTTCTTTTTGTTTCAGCTTGAATACTTTTTATTCTGTTTCCAGAATAGATCCTTTCATCTACTGTCAACTTTGCTGTTACCATCTGATAACCGTAATTTTTATTGCTAAATTTTCTTTTGAATATTTTTGTGGTTTCAATTTATGTCTGGATTTTCCATGTGTTCTTAAATATATATGTTTTTCTTTTTAACTAAGTTACAGAATTCTGCCGCACAAAGGTTCATGTTCTCGTCATTTCAGTATCTGGATCATTTCTGTATCTGATTCCCTTTATAGTTTCCACTTGATCATGGATCACAATTATCTGCTTCCATGTGTATTTTATAATTTTTCTTCCCACACATGTTAATGTAAATGACAATAATGACTAAAGTAAATGATATTTATCTCCAGGAAAGGGTTTATCCATTCTTCTTTCAATCTGTTATATGTTTAAGTTAGATAATGTAATTCATGTTTATTTGGTGACTGAATTAAGCTGATCTGCAGGTAATGCTAATCTGACCTTGTGGTTTTAATTTATTATTACTTCTAAATAATTGGAGTGTCCTAGAGCTTATTTTCATCAGGAAAAATGGAAAATTAGTAAATGCCTAATTGTCTTTGTGCTTTCCTGCTAAGTCACTAGCATTCTTACTGAGGGGTGGGGGGCACACACTTTTCTCTCGCTTCTCAGGCCCATTGCTAACTTCTTTTGCTCTCTAGCCCTCTTACTGGCTTCTGTGTCAAAGGAGGCTCACTTCACCCTTTCCCTTCTCAACCCTGATGTGTAGTTGCCTTGTACAGTATAAAGGCCTGGTACCTGTGTTACTGCAAGCCTTCAGTTTTTGCATATATGTTCCTTTGATGGTCTTTTAGTTCTTCTATCCTGAACCAGCTTTCTTGTCCTACTTCCCATTGATAGAGGCTAGCTGCCTTGTATTTGGAGTGACTCTACACATTCTCCCCTCAGCCTTTGCTGTGCGTGATCACTATACACTTGCTGAGTGAGTATCTGTGAGAATCAGTTGACACATTGGTATTGACTCTCTGCTAGAAGGTGGTCCTTGGAATTTTAGGTTAGCATTCCAGTTCATATCAGGCATTCAGGGTTTGGCTGGTTTCTTCTTGGCCTAACTAAGGAAGATTCTTTATCCTCTTATATCTCTGCTAGGCTTTTGAGCACATCTCTGAGTTCTTTTCTATTTCATGAAAGTCTTGTCACTTTCTCCAACTCGGTTTATTTAAATTCTTTTCACCCTTAAATGTTCTTTTTTTAAAGCTATGATTTTGTTGTTCATCTGGCTTACTTTTGCTGGTGTATGAATGATCACTGTCTTGTGATAGAAGGTTTAAGAAAAACAAACTTTCAGTGACGTGACTTTCAAAAATAGTGAATTTATTTTCATCAGCCTTGATTTTTATAATAACTATAATGACAAATAACATATAATGCTAGGTACCTGGGTGAGCAATTCAAATGCATTGTCTCCATTTAATTATCACAAACTTGGGAGTTGTAGATTGCCATTTCTAGATGAGAAATTACGTAGCTCAATATTATAGTCAGTTAGTGACACTTTTGAATTCAGGAGTGTGAATTGGAGCGAGTTTACAAATTCACATCCCAAAGGGTTGTAGGTATGTAATATAAATGAGTCAAGTCAGATGGGTATAAGAAGCAAAGCAAAGCAAGCAGCATGATGAATGGCAGTTAAACTTCAGCCTAGACAGTGGTTAAAAAAATGAAATTAGTTCAACTGGTACAGACACTTGGAGAGTATGATTCATAGAGGAATTGCTGAAAGTTATATATGAAGGTTCAGTTTTACAAAATGGTGCCAACTTTTTCCTTAAATAATAAAACAATTTAAATGCTGCCAAGCATTGAACCATAGCTGTAGCAAAGCATTCGAGATACTCAAAATTCAGTCTTTAGGCCAAACAAGGAAACAATGAAATGTTGTTTATAAACATTTATTGTCTATCTGTATGTATGTGTGTGATTTGCCTCCTTTCAAAAAAAAAAAAAGATAAATAAAACAATGGGTAAATCTTTAGCCAGCTGTCGCCTATGTGAGAATATGGGCCCCATATCTCAAGGTTTGGTTTTTTAATACAAGTCAGAAATCTGTCTTTTTTTTTTCAAACGAAATCACTCAGTTTCTAAATGTTAGCTATTGGTTCAAATAAAAAAAAAATCACATAAAATGGCGAATCTGCAATAAAATGTTTCTTCAAGCTCAGCCTGTTTCCCGAGCATGCAGTGTATGGGGTCTGAGCTCTTTTCAGTTGCATGGTTCCACAGTCTCTTAGTCTCTACTTAAAGTCTATCTTTCACCTATGTATTCTGCAGATTAAGAAAGTGAAGACCTGCCCTTGCTTGAATGTTTCCTTTACTGCTATTATACAGTTGTGATTGTTTAGATATTACAAGGACAATTCTTAAAACACATTTATTTTATATCCAGAATTCTTAAATTTATCATACTTAAGCAGTAGAATTCAATTTTAGAGTGTGTCTTTCATTAAATTGATGTGAGGGTACAAGTGTTATTGAATGTTAATTTTTATTCATTAATCATGACTTTCCTTTCCTTTGTGACATAGCTTTCACTTTCAGAAGAGCAGATTGATGTAACAAAAAATGGCTGTGAATCTAAAGAGCTGGTCTACCTCGTGCACATTGCTTGTCAGGTAATTTTGTAGATGTGTTCTCTGTTATGACATAGCATTTGATAAGAATTATTGTGAGTCATTAAATTCCTTTCTCTAATGTGTTACATAATAGAATCCTCAGAAATATTCTAATACAGTATCAAAATTATTGTAATTATTGTGAAGAAAATAAGTAGTATTTTTTTACAAAAGATAATTTGCATGTCCATACAATTCAATATGGAATATGTAGTTCAATCTTGGAACTCTGCATTTTTAGATCATTTTTAAGATTTTAGTTACTTGAGTGAATAATAGTGCCTATATAAACAAATATGTTTGTTTTTTTCTTCCTCCCATTTATATTGACATTTTTACATATACTCAGAGCTGAAATAGCCAGTTTAATATAATCAGTTTTTATAGATATTTAATTTATAAACAAATGAAAATTCTTCTTTGAGTTAAGAAGTCTATTGATAATAAGATAAAAATAAGTTATTGATAATAAGATAAAAATAAGCCAGCCATTTGTCACATGTTATAGACGTAGTAAAAGAACAGACTGAGTTTTTTCTGCCTCAGATGCTCACTTTTCTAACCAATATGGTTCACATTGTTACAATGCTGTGTTGGAGCAGAGGGGAGTGTGTATATTTTAGAAACCTTTTTTTTTCTGGATTCTTTGTACTAGGCTTTCAACTTCATTAGGTTAGTATTTGTAGCATTATTTCCTTCATCAAATCAACAGTATAGATCCTTTATTCTCCTCTCATTGAGCCATCTGCTTATGTTTGAATTACTGTGTTTTTAAGAAAAACTTTCTTCTAAACAGAGCTTTTAGTTTTCTTAAAGAAGAATAAGATATGGTCATTTATATTTTTTTACTCAAAAGGTATTATTCATGTACCTGAATTTAAAAGTTAAGTCATGTAGAAAAGTCGAGTACTGGCCCTCCCTGGTGGCGCAGGGGGTTAAGTCCCAGTGCTATCATGCTTTCAGTGCTGTGGCCTGAGTTCTATATGCCTCCAGGGAGGTGATCCACATGTGGTGCAGCAGACCTTTCCTGTCTCGCTTGCTGCTCCCCTCAGTAGTGCGTTGCAGGAGATCGGCCTGTTCTGATCCCCACTCTGTCTCTAGTGAATACTCTCACCTCTGGCCTATCCTCCAACTCTTCTACGTATAAAATAAAATAATAAATTAAAAAAAAAAAAAGCCGAGTACTTATCTCATGGGAAATGCTTAAGGTCTTAGTCTAGAAGATTGTAAGGAAAAGCTTTCAGAATTAAAAGCTTTTATTAAAAGTATTAAAATATGGGATAGGAAGTTGAATTTAGCTTGTATATGAAGAAGAGATAAGGTTACATATTATTATACATGTTTTGTTCTATGTGATCTCTGTTCCTTTGAGAAAACAGCTCTGAATCATTCAGTTCCATGTGGTTTTTCACAAAATGTTTCAATTTGATGAACTAATTTTTAAATGGAAATATCAGATGCTTTTATGAACTATTTTAACAAACTTATGTAACCATATCTTCTTTATCTAGAGTAGATAATCTGCCATTAATGAATTCATTAATGCTCCTACAGCCTAACATCTTGTAGAATCTCTTCTCACCATAAATTTCTATATGCCTCAACAATGCAGATATTTTTATTCTTATAAATGAAATATTAAAAATACCTACACTGTTTTTAAATGACCTTCAAAATGTAAGCAAGGTATGTTGTTACTACACATTAGAATATGTAATTGTTATTTTATTATGCTTCCTTGAATAAGTGACCTAAATAGTTAGGTCTTTCCTGGTTGTAAATATATCATGAAGCTGCTTAAAGAATTTCAAATGACTTGGTGTAAACTACTTATTATATCAAGTAGTAATTAGTTACATTATAATAACGCCATTGCACTTCTCTATTTTGGTCAGTGATCGTGGCCACATCGCATTACTTACCTTCTGCTTTCATGCCATATATAAACTTAGATTTAAGCCATACTAAGTGAGAATCATATTTATCTTTCTTATAACTAAAAGTCACAATCAATCTCTCTGATTTACAAAGGAGGAAAGAGAAACTCAAATTACTGAAGTAACTTTCCTAAATTATTGATATTTGAAATTTTAGCAGGAACATTTTAAGCACTTTAGTTTCTTGATTGCTAGTTTTCCCTTCATTTCCTTGACATTCAGAAGTTAGATAGATGTGAGAGAATGATTGACCTTATGAGATGACCATTACTATTCTCTGATACAATCTGTTCATTCCAGAAGCTATATATCCACATAGTTCACATTTCCACTAATTTCTAATAGTATGCACTTAAAGTTCTTTTAATTTAACCAAAAATCATTGGCCCTTTCTTGTAACCCATAATTCTCTGTTCTTTTATCCTAGAAAAAGGTCAATTAAACAATTGAGCTTTTTCCTTTCAGCAGGTTAAGATCTCATCTTTTGACCTTTTAATTAATCTGTTTCTCCTCTGTTTTTCTTTTGTGTATCCAGAAATGTAGACACATACATGACCAAAATATGCTTACTGAATTTGCATCTATTCATCATGGAAATGGTTTACAACACAGATACTTTGCATGTAGTATGTCATTTAATTCTTACAACAGCTCTGTTAGACAGATTGTCTGGCTTCCATTTTATAGATGGTGAATCTAAAAGTCGGTAATGTTAATAACTTCCTGAAGGTCATAAAATTAAAGTGGATGCACAGGATTTGAATCTTGGCTTTGTAATTTTTTCCTGTTTTCCAATTTGATTTGTACTGGGCTGTGTTACTCTGAAATCTGAAAGCATATCCCAAATGTTAATAAAAAAAATATAGAAATGAAGGGGGGTGGTCCTGTCTGGTAGCTCAATAGTTAGAGTCTCAGCACTACCAAACTATCACCAGCCACTGCAGCATGAGTTTGATTCCTGGCCAGGGAGCTGACCTAAACGGTGCAGCAGACCTCTCCTGTCTTGCCTGCTGCTCCCCTCAGCAGCGTATTTCAGTGGACTCACCTGTTTTGTTACCTTTTCTGTCTGTGGTGAAACCTCTTACACCCTGTATCTCTGGCCTACACCCTCGTTTTTCTCTGCATAAATAACTAAAAATAGATCTTAAAAAGAAAAAAAAATTATAGAAATGTCCTGGAACTGACCATTTCTAGTTTCTTTACATGATTTCAATGGCCTAGAGACTTTCAGTTGGAACCGCAAATTTAGAACCTTGACAGTCATAGCCCGGTCAGTTGGGTACAATTTCATGCCAGTAGACTCTCTAGCGAGAACAAAAATATTAACAGTCAGGATGTGGATAAAACTACTCTCTTGGATGCCTTAAGAATAAAATGTCTGTCTGAGCCTCCAACTCCCTCCCTCACATACTCATTACTATTTAAAATAAGTTGTTTTAGTGAATGAGGTATGTTTTGCTTCAAATTTTCCCTCCCTCATCTTTTTATCCTATTCTGCAAGTAAACAGGACAAATATTACACAGAACAAATAGGCTAACTAGTGTAGGTGAGGAAACACTTTCCAGTTTTCATTTTTCTCAATTGGTGTGTTTTCTTTTCTGAAAGCCATATTAATGTTTCCTCTGCCCATTTTCTACTCCTTAGGAGACCCAGTGTATTTAGTTTCAAATCAGTGGAAATTAATGGAATCTTCAGAAGTTCAGGAATTCTCAAGTGGAGAAAAACCCTTTACTGTCTCAAATGTTGAAAAATCAGTAATTTTTTAAAGATCAAAATTAGGTAAATCCTGACATTAATTGTATTGAACCCTGTTACAGAATAAAAGCATTTGTAAGTCTTTTTAAAAAGAATTCTGTTATTCTCTAGTAAATAAGCAAATATAAACTTCAAATGTTAATTTAAAAAATGGCAAATTTAAACTTAACTGTTGCAAGAATTAATACCACATGTTCCCTAAAGAATATCCAGTTCTAATTTTATGCAAGCAAGTTCAACAATCTAGAAGAGATGGACAAATCCTACAACTTTATAATCACCCAAAGCTCAACAAAGAAGAAATAGAACACTTGAATAGGTCAATTACAAGCAGTGAAATTGATACAGTAATCAAATCTCTCTCCAAAAGCAAAAGCCCAGGACCAGATGGCTTTACAGATGAATCTTACCAAACATTCAGAAATGAAATAGTGCCTGTCCTAGACAAACTCCTATCAAAAAATTGAGAAAGAAGGACTACTACCAACCATGTTTTATGAAGCCAACATTACACTAATACCAAAATCAAACTAGGACAACACAAGAAAACTACAGGCTAATCTCTCTAATGAACACTGATGCAGAAATCATAAATAAAATCCTAGCTAATAGAATCCAACAATACATCAAAAAGATAATCCACCATGACCAAGTAGGATTTATCCCAGGGACACAAGAATGGCTCAACATTCGCAAATCAATTAATGTAATCCAACACATCAGCAAAAAGAAAAATAAAAACTATGTGATCATATCAATAGATGCAGAGAAAGCATTTGACAAAGCCTAGCATCCATTCATGATAAAGGAACTTGAAACACTTGGGGTAGAAGGAACATACCTACCTTAACATAATAAAGGCCATATATGACAATCCCATAGCCAGTGTCATTCTCAATGGTTAAAAGCTGAAATCCCTTCCTTTAAAGTCAGGAATAAGATGAGGAAGTCCACTCTCACCACTGTTTTTCAATATAATACTAGAAGTCCTAGCCAAAGAAGTAAGAAAAGAAAAAGGCATATAAGAAATCCAAATAGGGAAAGAAGAAATAAAACTATCACTATTTGCAGATGATGTGATAATATACACAGAGAATCCCAAAAACTCCACAGAAAAACATCAAAATAATAAACCAGTTTAGTAAAGTAGCAGTTTACAAAATCAACACACAAAAATCAATGGACTTCCTATACACAGTCACTCTGAAGGAGAAGAAATCAAGAAAACCATTCCTTTTATAATTGAAACAAAAAAGATCAAATACTTGGTAAAAACCTCTACAAAAAAAGAAAAAAATATATTGTTA